TCCAACATTGCAAGTTGAATGCTAATATCTTTTAAACAATTTGAAGTAATATTCTTTTTTGTCCCATTTTATCTCTTCTATTTATTATTTATTGGTCAAATTATTTTTTTCTTGTTTAATATTTTCTTACTCATTTTTTAATTTGAGTTTTTGTGTTTAATACTCATTTTTATATTATTATTAAATTTAATATTATAAAAATTAAAAAAAAAAAATTCAATCAAATTTCGTTAATTGAATGAGACACATAAGGAGTAGTGGTCCTAATTAAGTAGTGGTCCTAAAAAAAAAAAAAAAGAAGAGGGAAAAGTGTCAAATTGCCCCCTAAGTCGACCGGATAGTGCAATTTGGTCCCCTAACTAAAAAAAGCTCCATTCAGATCTCCTAAACCTGTAAAATTGTTCAATTAAGTCAAAGGTGACTTGTTTAACATGTTAAATCTTCACATTGTTGACATGTGTCATTTTAAAATATATTTTTTTTTGTTTTTTGTTTTTTTTTGTTTTTTAAATGATTTATTTATTTATTAAAATATATATTATATATAAAAAAAAAATTTAAAAAAAAAAAAAAAAAAAAAAACACAGCCAGCTACAGCTTTGTGCGTTTTTTTTTTTTAAAGCTTTGTTTTTTTTTAAATTTTATTTTTTATATATAATATATATTTTAATAAATAAACAAATCATTTAAAACAAAAAGAAAAACAAAAAAAAAAACATTTTAAAGTGACACGTGTCAACAATGTGAAGATTTAACCCGTTAAACAAGTCACTTTGAACTTAATTGAACAATTTTACAGGTTTATGAGATCTGAATGAAGTTTTTTTTAATCAGAGGATTCAATTACAATATCCGATCGACTTAAGAGGACAATTTGACACTTTTCCCTAAAAAAAAAATAAAGTAGTGGTCCTAGACTCTAGTGGACAGAAATAATTAAGTCCCAACAGTTGTCAGACCTAAGTAGTGGTCCTAGTTGACAGTTGTCTTTTATGAATTATTATTGCTTCAACTTTTGAGTTGGAGTGACCATGTGATCCAATTCAATGAAATTAAATTTGGGAGTTGACTGAGACGACTTAAGTAATTTTATTTTATTTTAAATTTTTTACTCCGTGTATATATATATATATATATATATATATATATATATATATATATATATATAGAGGAAGGTTCAGGTGCGGCAGTGCACTTAGGTGCGGCGGTGCGGTTAATTGTAGGCCATTAGATTAGATAAATCCAACGAATCACATTCATTCAGGCTTTTCCGATATTTTCGCGCGCGTTCTCACAGTACGCGAACTGCAAGGTTAAAGTCGTCATTGGGCACCAGAATATATCAAATCATAGTGTTGTGTGTTTTATGTTTGTTATTGGTGCATTATTAATCTTACTGTGGTGTATTTGAGAATTCGTGTTGGTGTCTTCCTGAGCGATTAGTGCGACCACACTAATAGTTATACAAATATACACCATCCATGTTAGAAAATGCACACCAAAAAAACATGCACAAATTAGATATGCATCACTAGAACGCACCACTAGGTATGACTAAAAGCATCACACAGTGTTCAGAATACACCATTGGGGTGGTGAGTTATATGGTGTATTTTTTGGGTGTGCTGTGTGTTTTTTGGTGTATTTCTGCATTTCATTGTGGTGTTTTTTCCTAACACTATTGGTGTCTTTTATTAACACTGTTGGTGTATACTGACAAGCGACCGATATAAATAACCACTACAATTACCATAACACCCCCCACTTACCAGGACGCGCTTAAATCTTTAAATCTTCAGAAATTAGTCGCTGCCGTTAGATTAAGCAAAATGGACGATGCTGATATGACCGCACCGCCGCACCTAAAGCTACTGCCGCATATGAGCCTTATTCTATATATATATATATATATATATATATATATATATATATGTATATATATATATATATATTTTTTTTTTTTTTTGCAAACAGACGACTTAAGTAATTAAGTAACGCCTATATACTTAACTCCAATCCGCTATGTGACTATGTGGGCCATGGCTCATGCACATTAAAGTGATTGCTTCTCATTACACCTCTCTTCCATAGAACTATAGAAGGCATAAGTTCGCCCCTATCCATATAAACATTTAAGTCTTCTCTGTCAAGTCTTCGTGATGTTTTTGAGAGTGATGAGAAAAATCTACAATCACTAATTCAGAGAATGTATGTGTTAAATTTTTCATTGTGATTTTTAATGATAAATCAATTTAAATTATTCATAATTGAGTAATTCAAATTAAAAAAATTAATAAGTCGTTTTCTGAAAAACGTTTGTTATGTCTAAATTTTTTGGGTGGGGGTTTGTTATGTCTAATAGTACAACTTCTACTGTGATTATGAAAAACAAGTGAAGGGTGGGGCCCTTAGGGTTGGGGTTCAGCCTTTTGGAATGATGAAAAACAAGTGAAGGGGCCTGTGCCCTCTCTTCATAACCAAAAAAAAAAAAAATTATATTGGTAATCAAAATTAACTGTTAGACAATAAAATGTGTTAAACGTTCTCTCAAAAAAAAAAAGTGTTAAACGTACGCATACATATATAGATACATAAAGAGTTAATTTTATTTTTGGTCTTATATTTATAGATGACAGTCCACTTTTAGTTCTTTTTTACCAAAACATACATTTTTAGTCCTAGTATTATTATGACATGACCAATTTTAGTCTTCTATCAACAAAATCGTTGAAATTTCGTTAAATTGAAAGACATTTTGATCTTTTTAATACAAAGTGCGTTGACCCGTTATATTTTTTATGTTTATTTTAAAAAAAAATTATAATTGAAGAGCGAAATGTCATTGTACTTAACGAAATTTCAGTGATTTTTTTTGATAAATGACCAAAATTGATCATTTTACAATAATACTAGGACCAAAAAAAGATGTTCTGATAAAAAATAAACTAAAAGTAGATTGCCACCTATAAATTTAGAATCGAAAATATAATTAACCCCATACATAAAATATGTCTCTAAATGAGTAACTAAAAATAAATCACTAATAATTAATTTTTAGTTTTTATATATTATTTAAAACAATTTATAAATAATTGGAAAAATGGTCAAATAGACCCTCGAATTTTAGCTTAAAAGTCAATTAGGCCCCTAAACTTTTTAAATGTGCAATTACACCCATCAACAATTCATTTAGGTGCAATGAAGCCCAAAAACAAGTTAATGACCTGCTACCACAGGTCATTAGGGTTTAGGCCACCTTTCGGCGAATTTTCTGGCCAAAAAAAAAAAAAGTGACCAGCAACTGATCCAGATTTGTCAAAAATTTCGACGGTCACTTTTTTGTTGGAAATTTCGCCGGTCACTTTTTTTTTTTTTTTTTTTTTTGCCTAAAAATTCACCGGAAAGTGGCCTGAACCCTAATGACCTGTGATAGCAGGTCATTAATTTGTTTTTGGGCTTCATTGCACTTAAATGAATTGTTGAGGGGTGTAATTGCACCGTTAAAAAGTTTAGGGGTCTAATTGACTTTTAAGCTAAAGTTCGAGGGCCTATTTGACCATTTTCCCTAAATAATTAGTATATTATAAGGTATGTATTAAATTATACGAGAACAAATTATTAGGATAAAACTAAAAACTAATCTCAACCTTACATTTAGAAAAATTGAATGCACCAAATCAATTTTTTTTTTTAATAAAAAAATTACGGTGATATTTTCGTAATTATCACAAATTTTACTATGCAAACTTGAATATCAAAATCAACAATTTTTAGACTTTTTCATGTTTACACATTTAGTATTGACATTTTGTAGGTTTAGTACTAACATTTTGCATATTTAATATTAAAATAAATATTATTTGGCGAAAGTGCATTACACTTTATTTGGTTTATTAGTAGAGTTTATGACTGAATTTTTGGTTTTATTTAGTTTATTAGTAGTTCATCATTTACTATTTAGTGTCTAGCATTTACGGTTTAGATTTAAATTTTAGTTTTTTATTTTATTTTATTAGTTTTATACAATTTCCCAAGTTTACATTTTTTTGAATGTTACTGGCTCTATTACAATGTAGTATCTGTTCATATATTTTCTCAACCTACTCAAACACAAAGAATCCACAATGCCTTCACTGAGGCTCAAACTTACAACCTTCCAAATGGAATTGCCACCCAGGTACCATTAAACCACATAGTCCTGGTCCAAGTTTGCATATTTAGTTGTTAAAGATTGCATATTTAAGTGTTAAAATTTGTTTGATAAAATTAATGATAATTATGAATACGCTACCACATTTTTTTTATTTTTATTTTTTAATCTGATTAGATTCGTCAAATTTGTAGAGATACAAAGCTGAGATCTGTTCTTGATTTTTTTCGAAAGGTGTGTTATCACGACATCCTAAACCTAAAACCTTATAATTTATCCACCAAGTAATAAACAACTCTATAATTAATGAACTAACTTCTCATCACACCTCAGCTTCGTTGAAGGTGCAAGTTGGTCACGTACATGTGAAAACATTCATATTTCTTTGTCATGTCTTGTGGGTTTCTTTGCAAGACCGAGTCAAACAATAATATCTTTAAATAGAGTAGTCAGTAGTGGCCTAGTGAACAGTGAACACTCATAATTGATAATATCAAGAATCTTTGGACAGTGATATGGATTGAATAGTCCAACTCACATGCGGACTAGTAATAATAGAGTCCTTTTTTTTTTTTTTTTATACAAATATGAGATTCATAGAATAACGATAACTTATTACGGAGTAATTCTTATCACGTTAGAGAGAAATAGAAAAATATAGATTAAAAATCTATGCAGTATATCTCTTTTTTCCAAAAAGTATTATACATTTCATACTAGTATAGACTAGCTTCTTTTTAAAAATATTTTTTTATAGTCACATGTCGACATAATAATTTGCCTAGTGGTCTAGTGGAGAGTGATAGGGACAACGGTCCTTTCTTTATACAGATTAATTGTCTTTTCTTTATTTATCAAATATTGCTTCAATCCGATGAAATTTTCTGAGACGACTTGTACAAAGTCACGCCTATTGTAGTTTTGTTTGTTCATCATATTTCATATGCTTTTCAATCTCCCTTCTAATTGGTAATTACTTCCCTGCATGTGTTAGAGGAATCCGGCCGATTGAATTCCGGCCATATCAATATATGGCTTCATAGATGGCTTCTACCTCTTCTTCTGTTACTGCTTCGCCATCCCCTCAGGGATGGACGTATGATGTTTTCTTGAGTTTTCGAGGTCCAGATACTCGTAAGACTTTTATTGATTTCCTTTATGAGTCATTAGAACGTAAAGGGATTTGTACTTTCAAAGATGACGATCGACTGGTGAAAGGAGAGTGCATCTCTCTGAGCCTAATAAATGCTATTCGAGGATCAAAGTTTTTTATCCCAGTCTTCTCCAAAGGCTATGCTTCGTCAAAATGGTGTTTGGAAGAACTTGCAACAGTCATGGAATGCCAAAAAGAGTTGGAGGAGCAAATTGTGGTGCCAATTTTCTACCACGTGGAGCCTACAGATGTCCGGAATCAAAAAGGAAGTTTCGGAGATTCGTTCAAAGAATTGGTTGAAAAAATTGGCAAGGATGATGATGATGAGGAGAAGGTGAGAAGATGGAAGGAAGCCTTAAAAAAGGCTGGCGAACTCAAAGGGCATCATTTGAAGAATGACTATAACGAGTATGCTTTCAACTTCATTCCTCTTCTCATATGATTCATCTTTAATTATGCCTGCCCTTTAATATTTGCTCAGTTGTTTTTCTGTGCTTACTTTCTTCTTTTATTTTTAATTTCTATGCAAGTAGTGGTTATTAGTAGGGTTGTAAAAATCCCGCCTAGGCACCGAGTAATCGGCGCCTAGGCGCTAGGCGCCCATAGGTCGTGGCGATTTCCGGCCTAGGCTCCCGCCTAGGAGACCGGCCGCGTAGGCGCCCGCCTAGCGCCTAATTCAGCCGCCTAGTACCTAACTCGTCTGATTACACCGAGTTAACTCGTCAATTTCTGTCGAGTTAGTCGAGTTAACCCGACCGACTCGACCTTGGTAATTTTTTCAATTTATATGACATATACATATAATATGACATAAATACACTCGTAGACTAGTTTGATACTTTCAATCTTTGGATGATTGAAGTATTTGGGTATTTCATTTGAGTTTTTTTTTTTTTTTTTAATATTCTTTTGATGTTATGACTTATGAATTGTCATTATGTCATTTATTTGGATGTGTTATTTGATTGAATGTTGAAAACAGCCTCATTAAAATTGTCAAATTGTAAGTCTGTTACTGTATTTTTCGCGACCGCCTAGATTCCACCTAGGCGCCGACTAGGCCGCTTAGGCGCTAGGTGGTGCCCGGGCGCCCGACTAGCGCCCAGCGCCTACTGCAACCATGGTTATTGGTTTTTAATTAAGAAAGAGAGAAGAAAAAAGTTGTTTTGTTTTGTTTTGTTTTTTTCCCCAATACAGTATTTAATATTGAAATGGAAAAGATAAAAAGTAGTGTGAATATTTTTGTTATTAGTAGTATAGACGACGTCGGTTATGGATTTTCATTAAGAAAACAACTGCAACTTTTTCTGATGCATGAAAGGATGGAAATTAATTTTATATAGATGTCTCAATGTTAGAATTATTGATGTTAGTTCAATCTTGTCAGATACGAAGCAACATGTGCAGAAAACGTTGCTACCGACATAGATGCTCGATTGTATCAAGCATCTCTAGCCTTTGAGGAGAACTTAGTGGGGTTGGAATCTAGAGTTGACAACATTGGTAAATGGTTGAAACTGGAACATGATGATGATGTTCGGTTCATTGGCATTTGTGGTATGGGAGGTGTCGGTAAGACAACAATTGCAATGACAGTTTTTAATAGATTTTCACTTCAATTTGAGGGAGCTTGTTTTCTTGCAGATGTTAGACAACATAATGTCATTGAATTGCAAAAGACCCTTTTAACAAAAATCCTAAAGGAAAAATCAAAAGTAGAAATAAATAATGTGCAAGATGGAATTCGGAAGATAAAGATGAGGCTTACAGTGAAAAAAGTGTTGATTGTTCTTGATGATGTAGACGACCAGCTGGAACAATTAGACAAATTAGCCGGAGGTTGTAATTGGTTTGGTAGGGGTAGTAGAGTGATTATAACTACAAGAGATGCGGGGGTATTGCGTTCCCATGGAGTTGATGAAAAGCATATATATAAAGTAGAAACATTGGGAAAGGAGGATGCTATTCAATTGTTCAGTTCGTTTGCATTTAAAAAGGAAGCTGCACCTGGTGTCGAAGAACTCTCTGGATTAATCGTGCATTATGCTATGGGTCTTCCATTAGCTCTCAAAGTTTTGGGCTCTTATCTTTGTGGACTAGAGGCTGATGAGTGGAAAAGCACTTTAGAGCAACTCAAGAAGACCCCAAATGATAATATTCTTGAGAAGCTTAAGATAAGTTTTGATAGACTAGCTCTCACAAACCAAAAAATCTTTTTACATATTGCATGTTTTTTCAGACGTGAGAAGGAAGAATATGTAAAAGATGTGCTTAAAAGTTGTGATTTGCATCCGGTCATTGGTATGCGTGTGCTCATTGAAAGATCTCTCATATCAGTGGTGGAAGGAAGAATTGAGATGCACGATCTAATCCAAGATATGGGTTGGCATATTGCAAGAGAGGAGAAACCTAGGAGCAGGGTATGGGAGTTTGAGGATGATGCTGTATTATACAGAAAAATGGTAAGACATATATATGTATATTTCGATAGTAATTTGATGGATCCATGCTATCAAAGTTAATTAGTACTCGTAGTTAATTTTTCCTAACTTCCTAGCTAGCCAACTTAGCTTGAAGGTTTTTTTATTTATTTTTATTTTTTTATTCTTTCAGGAGCTTACAGTTACTAAACACATAGAATGTATTTCACTCCCCTATAATACATATGGATTGTGGGTGCACAATTATGAGAATATTAGCAGTGCCTTTGAAGCTTTGAAGATAATCATAGTTAAACGGTCGTGGGAGGATACTAATTTTGATGGTGATGTCAAGGATAATTATGAGCTTCCTAGCAGCTTGAGGTGGATTGATTTCTCATATTATCCTTTCCGTTCATTACCCACAACTTTTAATCTCTCTAGCATGGATACGAATCCATTGGAGCTTGTTAGGCTTTGTCTGCAGGATAGTTCTCTTGAAAATTGTTTGATAACTAAGGTACGTATATGATTCTAACCTGCTCACTCACTACTGAGTTAAATTATTTTTCTACATTAATTAATTAAATAGCATAAACTAATTATTTTATTTGATCTCCATCTTCTTCTACTCTTGCACGCATGCATGCAGGAATTAAATAAACTTACCTATTTGGATCTTAGCTCTTCATGTTCTTTGCTAGAGACTCCAAATTTTGATATGATGCCGAATTTGGAAAGGTTAAACCTTTCATATTGTGACAAATTAATAGAGATTCATCCCTCTGTCGGACGTCTTGAGAAGCTTATTTTATTGGATTTATGTGATTGCCGTGACCTAAAGAAGCTTCCCAGCTTTATTCAACTTTCATCTCTTGAATCTCTCAATCTTGAGAGTTGCAAATCATTAGAAAATTTTCCAGAAATCCAGAAAAGTATTCCACATGTAGTGGAGTTGAATTTAGAATCCATTCTCATTACCGAACTCCCCTCATCCATCCGGCAACTATGTGGGCTCACCAAGTTACGCTTGTTTTGGTGTAAAGATCTTGTATCTCTTTCTGATGACTTATGTGAGTTGGAAAGCCTTAAAATTCTTGAGCTTAGATATTGTGACCAACTAGAGTCATTGCCAGAAAACCTGGGCAACTTGTCAAAATTGGAAGAGCTTCATATATCTAATACTGCCATTTTTCAACTCCCATCTTCAATAACGCAGTTGAGCTCATTGAAAAGGCTACAGCTTTGTAAGTTTAAGACCATCGACAAAGGACTCCCTTCAGATCTTGGACAATGCTTGATCTCATTGGAATATTTGAATCTTCAAGGAAGCAATTTTAGTTATTTACCTGAAAGTTTCAGTCAACTTCCTCACCTTCAATACCTTGACATCAGAGATTGTGAAAAACTTAAAGAGTTGCCAGAACTCCCAAAAGCTATAAGCGAACTATATGTGGATTCCCATTTTGCCTTTGGAAACGAGTCAATCAACATAGATATGTTAGCAATCAAGAACCCCATGTTATATTCAGTCGTAGTCTCCCCTTGCCGTGGTGATCATTATTCGTTCAAAGGTGAAACCTTTTTAGCTAAGAAGAGCATTCAATTTCCATTTCACAGAAAGACTCCTTTTAGTGTTAGCTACTCAACCGATTCATCATATTATCAGATTAAGGAGGAGTATTACACTCTCTTGAGGTCATTCAAATACCGACGATACGGGTCAAATAGGATCTCCTTCAATCTCAATCATCGTTGGTATAGTACACAATTTGTGGGAATTGCTGTATTTTTTGTCTCTTCTAAAGCTGCTGAATGGGGACCACACTCGTACCAAGGCTTTGATGACAGTACTCGTCATCATCATTGTGTTATTAAAGCCAAACTATCATCACATAATGATATTAAAAATGAAGATCTCCAAACAAAATGTGTGATAGCCGGATCAACTTCTTACCGTGGTCTTTACTACAGAACACACACTTGCTTTGTGTACCTACCATTTAGTAGTTTGTGGCCTAAATCTAAACCTATGATGGGAGCAAATGATTATTCAAGATTCGAGGTGGAACTTGTGGATTTGAAAGTTGAAGCAGATTGGGGCATTAATTTATTGTATAAATGGTATATATTACAAATTTTCCTTTTTCTTCCCTATATTATTTACATTCCTTTTCAACTTTTTAATGCTCTGTTTTTCCAAAAAAAAAAAAAAAAAAAAAAAAACTTTTTAATGCTCTGTAGTAGGTATACTTTATTACTCCGGACTAGATAACTTTTTTATTTTTTATTTTTTCTTACAGATTGTTTTAGTTTTCTGTTTAATTTAGGCTAGGACTGAATCCATAACAAGCATAATTATATAATTTTTACTTTTAAATATGCTGAATTAAAAAATGTGCTTTCAGCCCAATAGGAGCAAGGGAGCATATGGCTAATTACCATAGGAGTGATTCAGGTACTCATACATTACCCCTTTTATACTATTATATATTATTTTATTTTGTGTTATACTCCTTATATATTAAGTATATTCATACTCTTAAACATTTTATATCAACACCTATGAAGTATTTAACAAATTAAAAGAAAAAAGAAGTCCTTACAATGAACGTAACAAACTAACAATTATGTACTAATATTTTAGAAATTATTTTACATAGTAATACATAAAAGAATAAATGCTACCCTTTAACCCATGAAGTATTATGCTGTAAAGTTGGAGATTCATAATTTCTATACTGTAGGTTCATAATTTCTAAACCATAGATTTATAGTTTAAATACAGTAGATTTATAATTTTTATACTGCAGATTCATAATATATATATTGTAAATTCATAATTTATGTACTATAGATTCATAATTTCTAAACTGTATAGTTTTCAAATTATGAACATATAGTTCTGTGATTTATAAATAGAAAGTTCAACAATTGGATATATGAACATCGAAAATTATGAACATATAGCTCTATTACATGTTCATAAACCTAATATGGTAGATTCATAATTTCTATACTGTAGATTTATAATTTAAATACAGTAGATTTATAATTTAAATACAGTAGATTTATAATTTCTAAACTGTGCGATTGCGAAGAGAGAAACGCGGTTAACGACAAGTGAAAAACAATTTTGTGTAAAAAAATTAGAACGTCGTCGTTTTTGTTAAAAAACGAAAACGACACCGTTGTGGAAGGTGAGCGTGTTTCCAAAGCATAATTTGCCTCAACCCCATTTTAATTTGTTTCATTTGATACATACACATGTTATTTAATGGTCAAATAACTCTATTTTGGACAATCCCAACCAAGAGCAACCTAAGTTATTTTGTATCTTTGTGGTCCTTTACCGGTTAGTGTCATAATGCGGGATTTACCCAATGCACACTATTACGTAATGACTGTGGGTTTTCCTCGAAAAAAAAATAACAAAAAAACAAAAACAAAAAAAAACAAAACTCGATTTATTTTTTCATATTTTTAGCAATTTCTTTTTTAATGTACAAATTTACATTTTTGTATTATTTGACATAAATTTTAATATCGTTTATAAGTATATAAGTTTTATTACTGAAAAATTAAATTGTAAATATAATAACTTGAGGGAAGGAGTATTACACTATATCACTATGCTATTTTGTACATACATTTACATACACTGAAGCGCATAGATACATATGTACATATATGCATGTCTCTGATCTGTGTGTAAATTTTGTTTTGTACTGCATGAGTAAACTATTATATATATATATATATATATATATATATATATATATATATATATATATATCAAGTACTCTATCTTAACCTCATTGATATCAGGACTACTCACAACTAATGATATTGGATGCTTGACCTTGTTGGAGTTGGAGATAGAGTACTTGAATCACGGTAGCAACAATTTTGTTAGTTTACCTGCATGTTATAACCAACTTCCTAGTCTTCAATACCTTGACATCAGTGGTCGTGGAGAACTTGAAGAGCTACCAGAACTCCCAACTACTATAAGAGAACTATATGCAAATTCTAATTTGGCTTCTGAAAGCAACTTAGTGAAGCTAGCAACCAAGTACCCAAAATTATATTCTGTCTCATTCTCTCCTGGAGATAAAGAGGTTTCTGCTGTGGAGTTAGCTAGGATGTTTGCTCATCATGAGCCTTTTCAAATCATGAGAGACTCTTCTTTCATTGTTACCTATCCTAGTGATGCATATTTAACCGATAGTGATGTCACGAAACGGTTCAAATATTCATCTCTTCGTTCAAATAAGATCTCCATTAGTCTTAAATCCTCCTGGCATAATCAAAGCTTTGCGGGATTTGTTGTGTGCTTTACTCTCGATTCACATGATCATAAATGGAAATCATGCCCAGACGGTCGTCCTTTTAGATACCGTGAGGTCATAGCCCAGCTGGTACACAAAGATAATAAACAACTTCTCCAGACAAATTGTGTTATTGGCAGACTATGCGATGAAGAGTTTAATTCTGAATTCGATCGTCAAGAGTATTTGGAAATCATAGGCTTTGCCTACATACCATTTCTTAGTCTGTTTAAGAATAAATTGAGAGCTATCCCCAGTGATTATTTGGTATTTGAGGTGGCATTTGGGGATCCTGCATCAAATGTTTCAACAGATTGGAGTTGTGGTTTGTTATATCAAAATGATGAATCATTAAGTGAAGCATTGTGGAGCCAAACTATAGCTACTTCCCATGATAATGGTGATTCAGGTACGTACTCATCATATTTCACCATGGATGCATGCATGGTATGTAATTATATACACACACACACACACTTATATATACAACCACGCATACACACATTCATGCATGCATATATAAATATTCCTTTGAACTAAAGTATATATTTTATATATTTTCATGTTAATAAAAAAGGTTAAAATGATAAATATTAGTTAATAAAATATCGCGCTCTAAATATACACATGAATTGCAGAAGAAAGTAATGAAGAAGCTCCATTGTTAGAAGAGACACATGTGTCCACGCCTGAGCCAGGTAAAAATATTGTATTATTGTTCTAATATAATTTCTCAATTACCTTATTACCCCTTCATATATTCATATTATTCATACTGTGTTAACATTTTGGATAAATAGGTCACTGAACTATTTAGGAAACAACAATTAAGTCATCGAATTCAAATAACCCCCAAATAAGTCATTGAACTCGGAAAAAAAGAGCAAATAAGACATTGAACTTAGAAAAAAGAGCAATTAACATTTTAGCAGGTTAACTCTAGATTTTTGTTGACTGGATTAACAAATGTTTATTTTATTTACGTTTCTTTCATTTCATTTACATAGTAATATATTTCAAGGAAATGTAAAATTTGAAGAATAAAATTGAACACTTCTTGGGATACACATCCTAAAACTAGCCCAGGAATATTTCTAAGTATGTACTATACATAGGGATGGAGCCAGAAATTCGATTGAAGGGGCGACGAAGAACAGATGGATTCAAAAAAAATTTCCAATAAAGATGAAATATTAAAACAAAATAGATAATTTTTAAAAAATAAATAAATTATCTAAAAAATATAGCTGTAAATATTGTTGGATATGTGCGAAAAATAAAACAAATCGAAACTTTATAAAAATATTCATCACAAAATATGAAACATAATTAATTTGATAAAATAATTTGAATAGAAAACATATTTTGAATAACACATCTCTTGTGTGTGTATTAAATATTAAAAAAATTATTAAAAACGTGACTGTGTTGAACCCATATTAAATATTAAAAAAGCTATTAAAAACCAATGATTCAAACCCTTGACTTTTACTATTGCCAAACATATGCTCTACCAATTAATCTAACTCATTTGCATGTTGACATTTAATAGTTTTTTTTTATACTAATACTAAAACATGTACTATATATACATATATACATACAAAAATTATATATGGGGTGGGGTGAGGGGGCAACTGCCCCCCTTGCCCCTTTGGTTCCGTCTTGTCCCTGACTACACACTTTTTTTAACACTAACATGGTGTTTGGTTGGAAGGAATTTAAATTCTCTTCCCACATAATTCCAAAGGCCATAAAATTCCTTAGTTTGGTTGGAAGGAGTTGCAATTCACCCATTTTCATCCCACCCCCACCCTTTTTAACCAAAAATTAATACAACAACAATGGACATTTTAGACTTTATATTACTTATTCCATTTCAATTTCCATGTATACCAAACATTAGATTTGAAATTCTCAGTAATTCTATTCTTGTAAACCAAGCACAGGAATTTAAATTCCCACTTTATTCCCAGTAATTCATCTCCTATAAAATTGCAATCCTTTTCCCACGTAATTCCCCCTCCAACCAAATACCCTGTAAATGCATATACAAAAAGGTTTTGCATTACATCAATCATCAATGTTATTAAAGACAAATAGTAAGTTAATCGCAACCATGAGGACTAGTGGGGGACGTGTCAAGGGTCAGTTTATCCCCTTGAATTATTTATTTATTTTTGAAAAAATAGCATTTTTCTCCGAGTTATATACTTATAATATTTTTCCCCCCTGAATTATTCAAGTGGCTGTTTTTCGTCCTGAAATGTTAAATGAACATATTTACTCTTAAAATATAATATTTAATTTATTTTTCTTCTACAACAAATTATGACCACGATTTGGTTCAAATCGAACAGACACTATAGCAACCAAACTGAAATATTTTAATTACAAATTGAATTGAAACCCGATATTTAGAGTTTATTAAAATCGCGAACCGAAACGACCAGTTCATGTTCCGAACTGAAAAAAGTGCATTTATTGTTGAATTTAGACTATTTTAAAATTAAAACAATTAAAATAAATACGGTTCAAAATTCGAACCGGATCCGGAACTGCCGGTTCACGACTCATGATCTAGTTTTTTTCGATTCATAATTTTAATAAACTGAAATCCAAATCGGATCTGAATCATAACTGCAAACTTTCAATCCGATTGCTATAGTGTCCGATTCAATTCGAACCAAATCGTGGTCATCCCTACGTGTAAGCAATAATTTGTTGGAGATTAAAAATAAATAAAATGTTTACTTTAAGGGTAAAAATGTCAATTTAATATATCAAGGGGAAAAATCGCCACCTTTAGAATACTACTTAAGGGGTTAATGTGCTTACATTAATAATTCAGAGGAAAAATATGTTATAAACATATAATTCTAGGGTAAAAAATGTTATTTTTACTTTATTTTTTTAGTATGAACTAGTTAAATAAATAAATTGTAAATATATAATACTGTGTTTTCGTTTCTGCTGTGTAGTGTTGTTATGCAAAATTCCTTCATTACACAACAAGCCATATTGTATGTGCTGAATTTATTTGCTTTTGAAACTCCCTTCTAATTAGTTCCCTGCATGTTTTAGGGGAACCCAAATTCTTTCCATATGGCTTGATGGCTTCTACCTCTTCTGTTACTGCTTCACAATCAATCCATGAATGGACTTACGATGTTTTCTTGAATTTTAGAGGTTCAGATATTGACAAGATTTTTGTAGATTATCTTTACACTTATTTAGAATTGAAAGGAATTCACACCTTCAAGGATTACGATCAAATGGAGGAAGGAGACTGTGTCTCTCTGGCTCGACAAAAAGCTATTAAAGATTCAAGATTTTTTATCACAGTCTTCTCCAAAGGCTATGCATCGTCAAAATGCTGTTTGGAAGAACTTACAACAATGATGGAATGCCAAGAAAAGTTCAAAGAACAAATTGTGGTGCCAATTTTTTACGACGTGGAGCCTTCAGATGTCCGGAAACAGAAAGGAAGTTTTGGAGATTCGTTCAAGGAATTGGTTGAATTTGTGAAGGATGAGGAGGAGGAGAAGGTAAGAAGATGGAAGGAAGTGTTGAAAAAAGCAGGCTATCTCAAAGGGCATCATTTGCAGAGAGACTATAATCGGTTTGCTTTCAACTTCCTCTTCTCATATGATTCATCATTATGCAGACTATAATTAGTTAACATAATGTTACAAGTGAATAGTGTAGAACAATTTTGTTAGAATAGACGTCCATAGATATTCATTAAGAAAACAAGTGCAACTTTTTTTGATGAAGTATGTAAATTTTATATTGATCGATGTCATATATTGCTATGAAGTTGGAGTACTAAAATTTTAAAACTATTGATGTTCAATCTTTTCAGACTTGATATAAAATGTGTACAAGGAGTTGCTGCCGACATATTTGCTCGATTGAATCAATCAAATCAGACATGGTCAGCCTTTGAAAACAACTTAGAAGGGTTGAAATCTAGAGTTAACGACATTGGTAACTGGTTGAGATCGGCTGATGATGATGATGATGATTATAATAGGTTTATTGGTATTTGTGGTATGGGAGGTATCGGTAAGACAACAACTGCAATGGCTGTCTTCAATAAATTTTCACTCCAATTTGATAGAGCTTATTTTCTTCCCAATATTAGACGACATAACATCATTGAATTGCAAAAGGTCCTTCTAGAAGCAATACTACATGTGAAGATAGGAATAAGAGATGAGTTTGCTGGAATGGCGCGGATGATAAGGAGACGGCTTAGACTGAAAAAGGTTTTGATTGTTCTGGATGACGTAAGCTATGTGGAACAATTAGAGAATTTAGCAGGGGATCATGATTGGTTTGGTAGGGGTAGTAGAGTGATTATAACCACAAGAGATGCTGGAGTATTGAGTTCTCATAAAGTTGATGAAAAGTATATATACCAAGTAGATACATTGGAAGAGCAGGAAGCTATTCAATTGTTTAGTTGGTATGCTTTTAAAAAGAAAATTTCTACAACTGAAATCGAAGAACTGTGTGGATCAATTGTGTATCATTGTAAGGGTCTTCCACTCGCCCTTAAATTGCTGGGGTCTTATCTTTGTGGACAAGAGGCTGTTTACTGGAAAAGCACATTGGAGAAACTCAAAGACACTGACACCCTTCACACCCCAATAGATAATATTCTTCGAGTGCTTAGGACAAGTTTTGATGAACTAGATTGCAAAGATCAAAAAATCTTTTTATATATTGCATGTTTTTTCAGACACGAGATGAAAGAATATGTAAACAATGTGCTTTATTATAGTTGTTATTTGCTTCCATTGCTGCATGTGTTGATTGAAAAATCTCTGATATCGGTCGTGGAAGGAAGAATTGAGATGCACGATCTAATCCAACATATGGGTTGGCATATTGCAAGAGAGGAGAAACCTAGGAGCATGGTATGGGAGTTTGAGGATGCTGTATTATACAGAAAAATGGTAAGGCATATATTTCAATAGTAAGATGTAGCAAAATTAGTTAATTAAAATAATGATTATGCATGCATATATATAGTGTGGTTTCTTAATTAATTACTTCCTAGATTATATTACGCTGTGGTCTAACTTAGCTTGAAGGTTTCTTTTTGATATTGCATTAGAAAGATTGATGTGTGTACTATTTTTATTTCTTCAATTCTTTCAGGACCCTGAACACATAGAATGTATGGTATTCCCCTATACATACAGATGTGACCTGGACAATGATAAGAATATTTGGGGTGCCTTTAAATCTTTGAAGACACTCATAGGTAAACGGTCATCGTCCAACGAAGAAGATAATAATTTTGACCGTGTCATGGATGATTATCTTCCAAGTAGCTTGAGGTGGCTTCATTTCCCAGATTATCCTTTCCCTTCATTACCGAAAAGCTTTCATTCCTCTGGCATGGATAATAATCCCTCTGAGCTTGTTGGGGTTTATCTGCACTCTAGTTCTCTTGAAAATTGTAGGATAACTAAGGTATTGTAGATGATTCTAACCCGACTCACTACTTTGTGTTCATCAATTCTTTTTCTTAATCAAATAGCTTATACTTATTTTATTCTCCATCTTCTCTGGCAGGAATTAACCAGACTTACCTATTTGAATCTTAGCTCTTCTTGCTCTTTGCTAGAAACTCCAAATTTTGATATGCTACCGAATTTAAAAGAATTATACCTTTCAGGTTGTG